ATATATATATATATATATATATTGTTGGCACGCGACCCTCTCCGTTTCGAGATGGTCCCTTCACGAAGGCCTTATACAAGAACCGACAGAACTGGGGGATAAAAATAAGCACGTACCAGATGTTTAGGTGGCTTCGAGATTCGCCCAGATGTGGATGTTCGTCGCGCAAGAGGGAATGGAAGGATTTCTTCCTCGGGAACTTCCGGTTCGAAATCAGGGTCCTCCTCATCTGACCCTCGTTTCCGACGCTTTCGGCTGCCACCCTTTGCTGTGTTTCTCTGTTTAGGCTTACCGATGCCAGCCCGAGAGCGATCGGGACCGAAAACCCCAGGAGCAGTAGCGCCACCACCGCCGCCGCTACTGGCATCGTTGTCGTCGTGGCGCCGTTTAGCTTTTGTCACCCGGAAAATGATACGCCGATTTGTGAGACGATTGTAAATCGCACTCGGTCGGGAGCTGCTGCTGGAAATCAGAGCTTGGTTGGTCAGAACCTGGATAATTTGCTGCAAATGTTCATCCGACACGTCCTGTGTTGTAATGTATTGATTGCCTTGTTGAATGATGCGGATTGGATTTTTATTCGAACCTACAGGGGCGCTGGGGTCGGCGGCTGGCATTCGGGCTTGGATTTTCTGGACCTCTTCCAAATCAATGGGCTCAATATCCATATCCTGTTGTGGCGAACCCTGAGGCATGACCAACGGATTCGCGGTTTGCTGATACATGATATTGTCCGTGGAACCATCATGCAAGTAGTGTTCGTCTGTCAGCTGTGGAGGGCCGGATGCGGATGGATCTGAGTAGATTAGCTGAGAGTCTGAATTGGACACTTCAGCGCTCAGGCCAGCCATGAAAGGCTCTGAGTCTGAATGGAGGACATTGGTATCCACTATCTGTATTTGACCTTGTTGGATCGTGTTGGAATCGTAAGAATAGGGAGTTGACACGACTGAATGGGGATGTGCATGCATAGGTCAAGCACTCAGAAGCTGCAAATAGGAAAATTATAATAGTCAGATTGGACGAACTGAAATGGAGCCAAAAACTGTTGGGTCAATGAAGTTAATAAAGCCGGTGATTGCCAGGCTTTTTATGGGAAAAAGCTATCAATTTCGTGTCATGTTGGTTAAAGCGCGAGAGGGCTAAATACCCAAAGTTTCTCCCTTATGAAAGCCGAAACCAATGAACGCAATGATCATGACTATGGATAAACATGGAAGACGCCGAGATAGCGTCATACTGACGAACCTCTTTATCACAGGCGTCAACGGACACAGAGTAGGGTCCCATACCATACTTCCATACTCCGTAGGAAGCAAAAATGAAAAGATTACAACACTGAATTAGAGAAATGTGGACATGTCTGCTTCACCGACCCCCTTTTTTAACTCACACTGCTTTCTTATAGATGAGTGAGACCTGGTTCCACACCGAACGACAGTGAGGTATCAGTCATCGTACTCAGTAGCAATAAACATGTGCCAACTGCGCAAAAGTTTTAGATGCCAAATTTTTGCTCACCAACTATGTTGGGGACTGAGGCGAAGAAATATGCATTGGAATCGACATTGGCAGCTACGAGAACGCTTTATGGGAAAAATGGAGTTCAGTTAGGTTGTTGGACAAACGCGAGCCGTGTACACGTACAGCGTGATTTGGGTCGCCATGGCATATGAAGGCGGAGGGGATTGTGAAGGGGAAATCAGGAAAGCAAACTAATCGGAAGAATCGCAGATTAATTATCACGAGTAAGTGAATACGTACAACAGCACAACTTTCGAATCGTTCAGCTGTAGCACCCTTTCAGTGCCTAGCAGCCATGCCACACGAAAGAGGCACGAGGGCTGGGATACTGCCAGGTTGCCCAAGCCTAGACAGGGAAAGTCGAGAGGCAGAGGTCAGGTTCGAACCACGGACCTTCCGGTCAGTAAATTCGCGCTCTAGCCACCTGGTCCATCTCGCCCCCACAACACAACTTTGAGACAATATCAGTCAATAAACAACTTCAGGTTGATACTCAACCTCAATGATGACACACATCAGTGTAGCTAAGATCCGCTGTTGCGAGTCTCGTGTCCAGTTAAGGTGGCATGTTACCTACCTTGTCTTGCGGTGTTGCCCAGAGGATGGTGGATCAACTGATCAACTGACATACAAATCTACTCTGTCCAAAAACGCGAACACTAAGTTTCCATGCGGGAGAGGAATACGAAGATAAATGTTACTCCTTAAACGGACAATCCTACACAGTGCAACTGTCAGAAACGTGGTGAAGCACCCATAACCACCCTTGCACACCATTAAGGAAAATATACAGAGACAGGACAAAGTAGCAATTGAATGGGACACCGTTGGCAACGTCAAAATGCTGGTAGCTAGAATGAGTTCAGGAGCTGGCGATCAGATGGCAGTCGATCTCTTCGCCGTGATTGCTAGTTGAGTACCAAACGTTTCGCCACCATATGAAAAGACAGTTGGCGCGAATCAACAGCGTGTATTATGAACAGCGCCACCAGGTTTTTCAACTTTCTAGAGCCGCTTTGTCCGGCCGCCGCGTTAATTCTTTACCATGCCCCCCCCCCCCGCGCAGTATTTGCCTTCAGTGTTTTACTCGGAACAAAAGCCTCGCAAGTAGGTCCGTCCCCGAATTTCACCAGTGTGTTAGCATTGGTGCTTCAGTTCAGTTTTTCAGCCCACAACCCGTCTAAAGAGGCTCAGCCGTTTCAGCTGCTACAGCCTCGCTCTTCCAGTATATAAAAAGGGAGATGATGGCTCGGTCACTTCGTTGATTTTGAATGATTCTGTTTGTCTGATACGGCAGAAGTTGACAGCTATGCAGTCAAGGCGGTAGCCTTTATGAATGGCTGCGTGACAGCTATTTAGCTTATCTCAAAATGCACCTCCCATCCGAGGAAACGGCATTTATCAACTCGACTGAGTTTATTGGTAGATTATTTCAGGTTCCTTTGCCAGGTGATGGACTGATCGCCCCTGGTTTTCATCCGACACCAGGCTGGGCGGAGAGGGCCCTACCGGCCTAACTAGCGTGAATTATGCAGCGTGACCAGCGAATCTATTGGGGTAGAGTAGACTTCACCGAAGACCACCGCTTTTGAATATAGGGATTACCATCAAGGCACTCCATTCTGTCGGAATTCTTTCCTAATTCCGGACATTTCGGAGTAGGGACGTTAGGTTAGCCATGAGGGCCTCACTACCTTCTCTAAAGAGCCCACGATGAAAGCCGTTCAGTCCAGATGCTTTGTTGCGCCGGACTTCCGTGATCGATGGTGGATTGCTGTTGATGTTTCATTCGGTTTCATTTTTTCACTTCATAGGATGGGTTGATGGGGGCCATCTGAACTGTCCTTCATTATTAGGTCGATGGTACAAGAAATTAGTGTGAATTAAGTGAGGCTCTATCCTTTCTGGAGTGTAGTTTTACTAACACTCACCCTCCCCGGACCAGTTAACTGGGTAAGGCGGAACAGGGTACAATCGTCCCCCGTGGCAAAAGCACTCTCCACTTCCCGGGTCTTTTCGATTCACCAGCGCTCTCTGCCAACCCTCAGGTTCTTAATTACTCGGCGTTTTAGGAACCTGCGCGCACTATCATAATTGTTTGCTGCTGGTATAGTTTTCCTGACTTCAACCAGATCTGTTGATCGTTACGAGACCCAGTGCTTGTTGGAGTGTGCAAGCAAATAATGGCTGTAATAATAATAATAATAAACACCCTTTCGGTGCCTAGCTGCCATGCTACCGGAAGGAAGGACAAGGGATGAGATATTGCCAGGTTGCCCACGCCTAGACAGGAGAAGCCGAGATACAAAGATCGTTTCGAACCACGGACCTTCCGGTCAGTACATTCGCACTTTAACCACTGAGCAATCTCGGGTAGGAAGCATCAAAAGCTGTGTTGCATCTAACTCCAACAGTCATCTAGATACCATAATAACCATCGTGCCCATCAAGTCCTGGAAGATTCGAGATCAAATCAACCCGATATCGTACAGCTACAGAGGCGCTCTGAGGTGACGAACTGAATGGCTTTGTATCAGCCGGCGCGTTACGGAGAGCAAGTGAATAGATACGCATGTCCGCAAAATGCAGTGAATGAACAGCCAAAATGAAGGACAATCTTGTATAGAAGCTCTCCATTGATAGCTGAGTGCTGCATGGTCCAAGTGAGTCCACAACTGGCTTGCAGTTGGTGACCTCCGAATCATACGTGAGCGCTTGTGCTGAAAGTTTGTGCTAGCTAATACGAATGTTTCCACGTAATTGAAGAATTCGCATCCGACTATCTAAAAAAATTGTCTGTACAATGAGCAACAAACACCAAAAAATCGTTCAGCTGTAGCACCCTATCGGTGCCTGACTGCCATGCCACCAGAAGGAAGCACGAGGGCTGGGGCACTGGACAGGGGAAGTCGAGAGGCAGAGGTCGGGTTCGAACAACTGAGCTTCCGATCAGTAATTTCGTGCTCCAACCACCACATCTGAACTCACAATTCGAAGTTCAACTAGATGGTGGCAAGACTGTCAAGGAAAGTAAGCAAGCAAGTCCGCGACGTCCTGCTGCAGTTGCCGGGTGCTCGACCACACCATCCTGAAAAAGTGTCAACGGAGCTGGACCTGGGACAACAAGTCAGTGAACTGAAGCTGGGTAATAGACAGCCGTCAGCGTTATTCAGTGGAATGCGCCTAGCATTAGGGGACTGGGCGGTTTCTTCCATGAGAAGTGGCTGCAGGGACTGCCAGAAAACATGCAGTGTTTTTGGAAATTCTCCAGCACCAGCCCGCAGGACAAACTGATCTAGCATCAAGGGATCAGCATCCCTCACGTTGCGAACGCAACTGCTATTCACCCTATCTTGCTGATCGACCCAAAGATTCACCATCTACAAGACGAGATCAGGGCTCTTCACCAGGATTTTCAATCTCTGGCTTTGAGGTGCAGACAGGTGGGCAGCAGCAACCAAAACTCAAGTTCACGCTCGTGTGGTTCTCGTGAACAAGTCTCCCCACCACCCAGTCCAGGCAGTCTGCGTTGCCACCACGAACAACTTGTAGATCCGGCTCAACGCTGCCGATCATCGTGCAGCCACAATTTAACCCAGGAAGTATGGGTAACCAGCACCCGTTTCGCCGCCACTGCAGTCACCTGTTCTATGATAGCGTCAAACCTACCTAGTCAACACAAGAGCTGAGGTCAGTAACGTCCCTACTGGTACAGGTGACCAACCACCCAACTGTCTCGCACTCGAGGGCGCCAACGGCATCTCCATAAAAACCATCTGTGACCGCTTCATTAGCGTCGACCTGGAGCTTCGTTGCGAGCCTCCGCGGATTTTGTTGCAACCAACGCGCCCTTTTCTATCCTGCGAATTGATTTTCTCTGCTGCTGGTTGACAAGTGCCGACACCAACTGATCGACCATTAGACTAAGTTTTCCATTACGGGCGAATGGTCGAACACTCCTTCAATCACCTTGGTTTCGCATCCCAAGTTTCCGAAAATTCATCCAACTGTGAAATGAGTTGCCACCGATGTGACCCGTCACACAACAACCGCTCGCTCGCCCGTCCGGTGTAGACCGGAATGGCTTGCACTCGATAAGCTACACGTGACCAAAATCGCGTTCGAGTATATGTCTCAACTTGGCATCATACGTCCGTCGAACAGTCCTTTACACGTGGGGGCGAGGTGGTTCAGCGGTTAGAGCGCGAATTTACTAACCAGAAGGCCCATGGTTCGAACCTGGCCTCTGCCTCTCGAGTTCCTCTGTCTAGGCCTGGGCAACCTGGCAGTACCCCTAGCCTTTGTGCTTCCTTCGGATGCATGACAGTTAGGCTGAATGGTTTTTACACATGGTCCCCAAAAAGACCGCAGACTATTGAAGAAAGTGTGGCGACTACCGCAACCTAACCACCGTAACCAGTCAGGATCGGCACTCAACTCTACATGCACGAGAACTGAC